TGTTAAATGCTACACTCAAGTTATGGACCAGTTACAGATGACTTAGATGGAGGGGGAGAAGCACACGTGAGAGAGAAGGAAGTCAGAGAAAAGGGAGAGAGATTATTCTGGAAATTACTGAATGCCAATGATCTATGAACTATATTCAACATTGTTTTAGCATCGATTTTACTGGACACTTTTCTCACAGATGCCTTCCAGATTATAAACAATCCTTTCAGAAAAACACAAATCCCAGGTGGAAATATCTCTAGCTATATAAAGACAACAGCAACTAACACTTTTGATCACTTACCCTGAATTAAGGAACTTGACCCTCCCAACCACCCTTGGAGGAAGGTACATTGTCACCCCCATTTTACAGATGAGAAAACTCTGAGGTCAAGGTGGACGGGCAATCTCTGAACCTGAACACTCTTGGTCAACCGCTTGTGCTCTGCTGAGAATGTGAGGTCACAGCGAGGCTGGAAAGCAGACTACTGCAGGGCGTGGGGAGACCGAGGCCAGGCAGGCTGGTCTGGAGGCCCACCAGGAGCAGCAGGGCCAGGACAGAAAGGACTCGGGATGTTGTCATTTAGAGGTGAGGCCAAACGTTTCAAAAATCACTGAGACTTACATCTTTGGGTCTCTCTCAATTATAGTTTAGTGATTTCGATTAATCCACGCCTACAGGGAAACACAAGTTAGGTTCACTTGGACTAGCAAGTTATTTCCATGGATATCCACACAGTTGAGCAGAAAGCACCAGGCCTAGCCCTAGGGCCAGAGACCTGGGCTTGACCTTTAGGGAGCCACTTAGCTGCATGACCTTGAGCAAGTCGTGCAACCTCCCTGCCTAGTCCTCCTCTCACACTGGTGTAATAGTGACCACTTTATAGCATAAAAGCTTGCACTTTTAAGAAAATTTAATAGTTTTTGGAATTCCTTCATATATAGTATTATTGTTAATGAAGTATAAGGGGGTAGCACCTTCGACAGGAGTTATCAATCATGAAAAATTTCTCTATAAAAACATTTACACAATGAACGGAAGAGCACCAAACCCTCTATTACTTCCCTTTTCAGAACTCGGAAGGAACCCCCAGTTAGGCACATCAAATTAAAACTTCCCTTTGGATCTCCTTCAAAGTGAGCAAGAGGATATGGAGAGCAGAGTGGCACCGCCTAGAGCCAGCAAACACTCATTAGCATCAACATCAGTTCACTGCAGATTGTATCCTCCTTTCCTCCCTATGGTAAGGCTTTCTCTCAGGTTGTTGCTATTACTTCAGGGAATTAAATCTCCAGATAATTCTGAATGTGAATTCCTAATTGCCACCAATACTCACTCTGGCTAATGAATCTGCTCTTCTGAATACTATTCAGAATTTAACAATAACAGGAAGGGGGAAAATGTAAGAGAACAAAGAAATGGATGGATTCCACGCGATTAGGGAGATTTAGTGACCAAATCACCAAGCGGGAATATAATCCATATAATTCAGCAGGAATATGAAAATCACAAAATGAACTGCTCCACAGGGTACAGAATCAGAAGATTAAGTGTGGAGAAGTCTCCATGGCCCCAAAGAGGAAATAAATTAGATAATCATACAGAAAGATGGTTTGGGGCTTGGATCACCAGATCGTTGTCTCAACCAACTACTAACAGATAACTAACTCATTGAGGAGCCCTGATTTCCTATCTTTCATCTAGGCCCTTCCTCTCTGGAACATCTCTCATTACAAGCGGAGACTGGGGGTGTGAATAACCCCATTCTGATGTACAGCTAATATTCCCAGTTCCAGATCGCTAATTTTAATAATTTGGAAATCTATAAGAAATCTACCCCATTGTCATTAAAAAAACCCAGTACCTAAAAAAACTTCCCTGTTTTACAAACTGTTTAATTGTAAAGGAGCTAAAATATCAGGACTGGGTTTCAAGCCATGAATCTGACATATGGAACACAAAGAACAATAATCAGATTAAGCAACTAATCAGGATGACCGACAGGAGCTGTAAGCAACCTTTTCCTCTAGGTCAGATGGGTGTGCGGAAGACCATTCTGCATTACTCCCTTTTATATATGTATATATAAAAAGAAGAGCAATTTCTCCTGGATCTGATACTGATTCTCCTAGGCCTACTCTGACATTTGTAGGAGCCAAACATATCAACTCCTGTTCATAAAAATAAAACAGTAATAAAGAATAGATTTTTTTAATGTTATTTTTTTTAAATCTATGGTATTAAAAATTAATCATGTATCAAATTATGATGTATTTCAAATCCACAACAAATAGGCCAATGGAATAGGCCAGGACCTAACAAGACCTATTGCCATAATGATCTTAACCATGTGTAATGGTTAACCAATGACAACAGCAATATTTCTCAGTATGAACCTGTGTCCTTTTTTTTCTTCGTTATCATTATCAAAATCACAGTTCCACCAAACATACCTTGTTACAAGTTTTAATCTTGCAAGAGGGCCAGTAAGGCCTAATTGGAGCTGTATAAGAAGCCAAATAAAAACATCCAATATCTTGCCTTGGTTAGCTGCTAATTGGGGAGATTTTAAACAAAGTACCTAATTTTTTTATCCTGTTCTTCCTAGGTAAAAGGAAAGGAGTCAAGATCTCCTCTATGACCCCTTCTTAACCATTCATAAAAACACCGCTGCTTTGCATATGCATTTCCCAAAGCGACAACATCTCTCAGGATAACAAGGGAGACATTTGTACCTGTCCCCCAGAAAAGGAACCAATGATCAAATAAGTTTCAGAATACTGGCTTAATAAAAGATGGGCAGATTTCCTTCCGAATCAGGACTTCTCAGAGCCTTTAATTGAAGTATACTGATATGTCAAAATTCTTTACTACTTAGCAAAAATCTTGAAAAAGGCACAAAAGATGGGGAAATTGACTGGAAAAAGTTAAAAAACACACAGTTTTGAAAAATTCGGCTATAGAAATGCCAAAGCAGCAGCATAGTACAGACAAAGAGAATGGGCTTACCAGCTTTGTAACTTTGGACAAATTACATCACCTTGTGCCTCAGTGTGCCCAATTTGTAAAATTGGGGAAATAGAACCAACTTCCTAAAATAGCTGAGGATTAAATGAGATAACATATAAAACCCTCTGAACCAAGCCTGACACAGAGTAAGTACTCAATAAATGTTAGCTATTACTTTTGTTACCTACTTTGCAAGGTTATTCTAAACAGAAATACACACAATTTATAGAACTTATGCCTGGCAAGTAGTAAACACTCAATAAAAGGTCACTGAATTGAACACATATAAAGTCCTGACTGCAATGCCTAACACAAACTGAATCTGAATTCATAGGTGCAGTACTGAATGTCACTATGATTATATGTCACTAAGATTATAGGGTCTTAACCATCAATAAGAACACTGCAACTCTGTCTATAACATTTCCCAACATGACAACATCTCCCTAGGATAATAACAACAAAGATATCTGACCCTTGCTGGCTGCCAAAAAAAGGAATCAGTGGTCAAATAAGTTTCAGAACTATTAGATTAATAATAATTAGGCAAAATTAAGTTCCTTTCCTTCAGAACTTCTCAGAGCCTTTAGTATGAATCTCTGAGAAGGGAATACACATTTCCCAAATGCACTTGAGAAAACTTCCACTGAGCAGCTCTTGGGATTGGTGTTCTCTGGAACACAGAATGGAAACTACCCTAACTCAATGGAAAAATGGAAACAGCAGGTAAAGTTCTTGAAAACCACCGGGCCTAGAACAATGTCTGGTACATCACACGTCTGTAACTAATTTTTGTAGAACAAATGTAAATGGGTCAATATTTTGTCATGATTCCCCTATTTGATCATGGAAAATTTTTTTGAACAGCATCTGTTGTACTACTGTCCCAAAACACACACTTGGAAAAAATGCTTGTCTACAGGAATACAGCCCTATTAACTGACACAAACAGAACCTAGGTTAGCATTCCACTAACACGGATTGTTCTTGGGGAGATGTACTAGCTGTTTGAAGGCCAAAACGTTCACCTCAACAGGCTGTCATTCATCCATTTGCTGGGACCTAAGGCAGAGTCTAGGAACGGTGTTCACACTCATGCCTCTGCTTATGCATCTCCTCTCATTTTTTTTTTTTTTTCTAACAGAGGAAAAGCTGGGAAACAAGAAGTATATTTTGCATTTACTAGAAGCACTGACAAACTGTCACAGGTCAGCTCCTATTTTCCCTTTTCCTCCTTTTTGCCTCTTCCAGGATCTACCTGTCAATCAAACCTTACCTCTCCGGTGCATAGTGTATGACCTTTTCACTCGCTTCATTTAATATTACATTTTATTTAAGAGAAGTTAAGTTATTACTGTAGTTTAGTTAAGATCTCTTTTAACCAATGCCACCATTTCTTCTTTTAGGGGGACATTTTCTCCCCATCTCTCTCTCCTAATAATAAATGCATCTTTCCCCCTCCTAGATCCCTCTAACTTGCCTTACTTGCCTCAAGTTGCACTCATGCCCCCAAATCAAAGGCTCCTCACTCTTGAATAACAGTTTAAGATGAAGTGGGAGGCTCACACATTTGATCCAAAAGAAAAGAAAAAAAAGGCAGCTATTTCAACAGGAGGTGGGAAGTTACAGATCTTTAAGTTTATATATAATTGTTTCAGAAATTAACAAGGCACATGCAGCGAGCTTAGGAGCCCATCCGTATGTAAGTAAAAGTCAGGGTTTTAAATGTTCCTTTCGGGGACACATGAAGTAAAGAGGCCGCCGAAGTTTGGGGAGGGGAAGGTCAAGGCACAGCAATCGTGGGTCCCTCCGGGTCGGCAGCGGCCAGGCACCCGCCAGCCACGGCTCCAGGGGCCTCGCTCCAGGCGCGGGTGCTGACCACACTGTCAACCTCGCCCTGGGCCTTCCTCCCCGGAGTCCCCGCCCGGGGCCTGGGCATCCCCCAGAGCCCTCCGCCTCGTCGCCAGGATCCTCAGGGCTGGTGGGGTCGGGCAGGTACCTGGTCATAAGGGGACTTCTCCAGCACCTGCGTGCACAGGTCTGCGCAGAGCTGGAACTTCCTACGTCTAAAATAGCTCCAGGCCAGGAGCAGCGGTTCCATCTCCGGGCCCATGGCTGCAGAGGGCCGCCCGCGAAGGACCAGGGCCCAGCCCAGGGAGGGCGGGGACCGAGGAGCCGGCGGCGTCCAGCTCTGCCCAGCAACGCGCGGCGACGGGGGCCTAGTCAGGGAGGAGCCCGCATCGCGCCTGAGAACAGGAAAAAGAAAAAAAACCACCGCGAACAGAACTCCGCTGTGGGCTTGCCCATAAGCTAGGGCTTGCCAAAGCGTGGTGCAAGAAAATGTGTACTTTCAAAGGCTACATATGTCATTAATTTCGAGAAGGCACCCTGACTAAATTAAGAGGCAGTGATTTAGACACCTCTAACTGGGGTCCTCCACCACCCAAGAGGAGGCGAGGTTGCCTAGCAGCCGAACGCTCTCCTTACTCTGCTTGTCCCAGAAAAGTCCCCGGAGCTGACCCTCCAGCGGACCACTGTCCTCCTCTTCCTCCTCCACGTATTTTTACCGCTATCAATTATCCTTCGACTCTAGAAACACAAGCATGCGAACAGCTTTTCAATACCACCCTGTCCATTAGAACCCAAAGCCCTACCTAAATCCTAAAACTCTCCAGTCTGTTTTTCAAAATCCTCACCAAATCTCAAAGTCCGAATTGAAAGGGGCACTGGCGATTTCTTAGTCCAATCTATTCATTTTTACAGATGAGAAACTGAGAGAGGCTGAGAAAAGAGAAATTTTTAATACCTAAAGTCGCATGGAGTTAGGGATCTGGGCTGTCATCTGTGTTCCTACAGGCCGTTATTACTATTTGTTAATTTGATGCTGCATAAGGATTCTGGATTATAAATTATCCGTTTTTACCAAACAAGATAATGTGAGCAAAAAATTAAAAACGAGCTTTTGAAACACACTCTCCAAGCACTTGCTATTTGTCAAATGTTTACTTGTGCAGAGTAATTTCTTCAGGCACAATTCTTACCTTCCTCTAGAGATTTACACACAGGACAAATATCTTCAATGGCAATGAAAACACAAGTGTGACTAGGCTAAATTTGGATAGGCTTCATTATGGAAGACCAGGGGATCTTTTTCCTTTGCCTCCTTCCTACCACTGTGGGAGAGGCAAGAGAGGGAAAATTATCTGAATACTGAATAACTTCCTCCCATAATGCAGACATATTTAATCCAGATATCTATATATTTCATAGATGTCAAAATTAAACCTATCTTTCTGATAAATAGGTTGTGAGTAGTTGTGTGTGTGTGTTTTTCCTCCTCTACTAGCAGTTTTCTTGAATTTTTTTGCGTCTTGGAGGCAATTGTCAGGATTATGATTATTACAATTGTGTTTATTAAAGTTAATCCATTGCTTTGCCCTGGGAGTGCTTCTAGAAATCTAACTGGTTCTAATGCAGCAGCTTATTGTTTTGGGGTGTCCGATTTTTAGAGCTGCACGTGCCGGCACTTGGCAGTTGGGCTCAATATTTCACAGGGTCTTTTTGTTTTCTGGTACAATGTAAGTGATTCCCAACTCTGACTCCATACTAGACATGGTTTTTAAAAAAACTTTTTATTTTTACATAGATTTAGATTTATGGAAAAGTTACAAAGTTAGTAGAGAATTCCTTTACACTCACCACCCAGTTTCCCCTGTTGTTAACATCTTACATAACTAAAGAACCACCATTGCTTACTATTAACTCCACAGTTTATTCAGATTTCAGAAACTTTCCCTAATATCATTTTGTCTCATAAGATCCCACTTTGGATACTGTATTATATTTAGTCATCATGTCTCCTTTGTCTCCTGTGTCTGTGACAGTTTCTCAGACTTTCATTGTTTAAGATGACCTTGAAAAATTTGAAGAGCGCTGGTTAAGAATTTTGTAGAATGTCTGGGGAGTTTCTAAAAATACAGATGCTTAAAGTCGATCCCTAGAGATTCTGACTTAAATGGTTTGAGGTAGGACTGAGGAATCAATATATTTTTGTTACCCAGGTCATTCTAATGGGCAACCAGGGTTGAATAATTACTGTGTTGAGTTCTAAATGGCTTTGTATATTGGGATTATTGCCAAATTCCTAGAGAGAAACAGATTTTTATAAGTAGGATACAAAAATCTTATACATATATGTGTGTATATATATATTTAAATATTGGAAAAATAGAGGCATTAAATATCTTAGGAGCAAATAATTCATCTTAGCTTCTTTCAGAAGGTTATTCTTTTTCAGAAAAGTTAAATGGATGATAAAAATTGTAGAACACTTAGCAAATTGCAGAATGTTAATTATGTCTAAATGTAGCATAAAATGTACCTTTAAAAGGTAATAAACATTTGTTATTTTTAAATCATGTACATATATTTGTTAGTTTTATGAATGTGTATTTTTTATCATTTCTAATCCAAAAATCAGAAACCATTTTTTAATATTATGCTACTAATAGGAAGAAATAGTAGTTGTAACAGGTGAAGGGGGTAGATAAGAATTACTAGGACCATTTTCCTGCTGGAGAAAATGAAGCATAGCAAAACAATGCAATTCCTCTGAAAGGGTCAGTTTCACAATCAGAGCCAGATCTCAGTTCATGGATCCTTATCTTTTGCTCTCTAGCAACTGAATATCCCTTTAGGTTAATTTGGTTTGAAATCAAATACTGAAGATAATGTAACTTTAAATGCCAAAGTTAAATTATCTTAAATGTTACATTGGAATTATTCAGGCCATTTAAACTTAACCCAAAAGAAAAGGAAAAGTATAAAATAAGACATTCTCTTGGTCAACAAGTATTCGGGCAGGCCCTATGCTTGGTGATAAGAATGCAGAGATGAACAGGTGTCCTGTCCCAAGGATATTTATATACAAGGTGGGGCAAAAGTAGGTTTACAGTTGTTCATATGGAAAATAATAATTTATAAACAATAATACAAGAATAAACTCTGTTTCATCTACTCACAACTGTAAACCTACTTTGGCCCTTCCTTGTATAAAGAGTAGTTATGGAAAGAACACTGAACTTCAGTTCAGACTTACTGTGTTTTCTCAGGCAAATTAGGAATCAATATTGGGTGGTGATTAAGAAGTGGCCTCTGAAGCGAGATTTCATATATTTGAGCCCCTTGTCATGGGAAAGTGACCGGGCATAGGTGAGTCTGCCTGGCATGTTTTGGAAGGTATGGATTCTTGATTTCATGTAGGAAAGAATTCAAGACAAGAGTCCAGGTGATTTTGAGGGTACATTTATTAAAACTTGGGACAGTGAGACAAAGGGTGGGCTTAGACTAGAAGAAACAAGATCACAGCAACAGGAGTGAGCCTAAGCTGGGCTCCTGAACTCAGGAAAGGAAGTTAGTAACAGAAGTGAGCCACACTGGGCTGCATGGACTTACCGAGAAGTAAAAGTCACAGTGACAGAAGCATAGAAACGCACTGGGGTGGGAACCAACAATGTATGCAACCAGGGATCTCCTCAATTTTCTGTCAGACAACATTTATTTCATGCTAGAGATGGAGTATTTTGAGGAAATACCAAAGAAATTAGAGGTTGTTTATATTTTCCAGTTTTTTGTGGAGGTGTTTGATAAAATATCTATTGATACTGATATTTATGCAAAATTGCTTTTAAATACATACTATGAAATACAAGGGATACAGAGGAAATAATGCATGTAAACAAATAAGTTCAATAGAACCTATCAGGGTAAATAGGTACAGTGAAGGCACAGTACGGGGAGATTGTATCTTTGCATGGGGTGGTTGGTTAAGAACTCTGCAGTCAGCAGCTCAGGAAAAGCTTCACAACAGCATGAAGTCATGTGACCAGGAAAGTGTGTGATGAAGGAAAGAAGAGGCAAAGGTGGGCTGAGGACAGATCACCTAGAGTGGAGAACATCATGCAGTGGAGTTTGCATATTCAATGAAAAGCCACCAGAGAAGTTTTACCAGGATAAAAACAACTTGAATAACTATGAGTGAAGGCAGGGAGATCACTTTAGATACTACTGCAAGAGTCAAGGTGCAAAATTCTAGGAGTAATGCAGATGGACAGAAGTGGCCCAAATTTATTAAAGAAACAGAATCACCCTGGCCGGATGGCTTATTTGGTTGGAGTATTGTCCTGTACACCAAAAGGTTGTGCGTTCAATTCCCAGTCAGAGCACATACCTAGGTTTCTGGTTCTGTCCCCAGTCAGGGCACATACAAGAGGCAACAGATCAATGTTTCTCTCTCATCTCTCTCTCTCTTTGTCTTCTCTTTCTCTCTCCCTCCCTCTCTCTAAAATCAATAAAAACGTATCCTCAGGCAAGGATTTAAAAAAAAAGAAATAGAATCAATAGGACTTGGACACTGGATATATGGAGGGCAGTTAGTGTATGAATAAGGGGGCCATTCACCAAGATCAGAATGAAGGCGAAGGAATGGGTAGAGGAAAAAAAGATTAAGTTCAATTGGAGTATAATGATTTTAAGTTTTTGTTTTGGGGACAGCGAGATGAAGATGTTCTGTTGGTAGCCGGACATAGATACATGTCAGGGAGCATAAAAAGAGGTCAGGGGTGGAGATAAAATTTGAGACTCATATAATTATACATCTTTTCCATGGAGAGAACGAGATTACCCCATGGAGAGCTTGCTTAGAAAATTTGTCAATTCAGTGAACAGAATAAGAGGTTTCGCTGTTGGGGAGAAAAAGCCAACATTATTATTATTTGCCAATTGCTGATAATTGTTTTTCTAGGAACTTTTGTCATGTAGGAAAGCTCTCATGTTGTTGTTGTTTTAATATTTATTTTGTATTCTGTAATTTATTGGACACTGGTTCAGTGGTTTGGAATGCTACCTTCATTGTATGCTAAATTCTAGCGTAGATGGTATACTGTTTCTGGGTTATGTGTTCAGGGCCACAGATGTGAAGGTCAGTATTTATGAAGGTATAACAGTTTTAATTGCTGTAACTCTATTTACAAACATTTACATTTTTTCAGGTCTTCAAACTCATGTGAGCCCTTATTCACAGAAAAACTATTTTATGCTATGAAGTTAGTCACAATCCAATATTGCTGGCTTCAAATACTTAAACAATAATTTTTCCTAACCTGGTGGGAAATATTCTCTTAACATTCTGCAACTATTATAGTAAACTCCAAAGCAAAAAGCACTGTAAAACGAGTGACAT